ACGAAAAGGTTAATGCATAAGCTACTGATAACAATAAAGCCAAAAAGTAAAGCTCATATGACCAAATAAAGGTTGCATATTTTACCACTAATATCTACAGCAATAACCACCAGAAATAAGCATAAGTTCCTTGGTCTGTGTAATAAGTACCTGGCTAAATAAAAAAAAAAAAAACAGGTTTTAACTTTTTAAGATGGGTAACACCACAGTAAAGTCTGCTTGGTATTAAAACAATGGCAGAAAATAGAACACAACAATTTCAAGACAACTTTAATACTCTTTTTGTAATATTTCAAAAAAGCAAAAAAAAAAAAAAAAACTAACTGCAAAGAAATGTTTTCTATTTTTACTTAGATGATAAAAGTTTTAACATAATTTTATATGTATTTAACCAAACCTGACCTTAAATTTGAATATGGCTGCTTTCCATACAAAACCAGCTAAAAGCAAAAGTTCTCATGCAAGCCTGAAGATGTTTGTCATCTTAATAAAATAATTTGCCTCAAACAACCTCCTTTAGTAAACTTTGTTAGTAGAATTTATGTTAAAAATGTAGAAAAAGCATTTACTAGTTTGCGTTCTATGACTCATCCAATTACACTAGTTTTCACTAGATGTGGATGGAGCCAATGATCTGCATTGGATGGAGCACATGACGTGAAATAAATATTTAGAAACATTAAACCGAAGCCAAGAGGAACGAGTAACGTTTTTTTTTTTTTTATGTAAGGAATAAGAAGTACAGATACTTGTGTTAAAATGTAATGAGCAGAAGTCAGAAGTAGGAAGAAAAATAAGTAATGGAGTAAAGTATAGATACCTAAAAAGTGTACTTAACTACAGTAACAAAGTACTTGTACAACTCTGATCTCTGTGAGCCTGGTAACTATTAAGAAATTTAATTTTGTTCAAATTTAAATCCAAGCTCCGACTTTACAGGTAAAAAACTAAAAAAAATGTGGCCTTGATGTAAAAGGTAAAATAATCAGGTAGTATTTTATTTGTGTAACCAAAATGATTCCCGATCAGTCTGTAAAGGGTCCAGTTCCAATTTGATAAAAAAGTAAATAATTCATTAATATCAGGGTTCAACTAGCATGTGTCCTGTGGGGGGGAATTAATGTAGATGTCTTGTTTTAAATCAGAATATTCTCTGGAGCTGTTTTTTAATTGTCAAAAAAAAATCGAATTCTGCTGTAGTGAAGGTGACCTTTTGGCTTAATAAGAAGAACATTTCAATCAATTCACAATTATTCCAACTCCTTGAAGGTAGAACATTCATTCAAAACAATTTGTTATGCAATTAAGCTTTTGTTTATTATGGGTCACAGCTCTTACATAGCTGTTAGCTCTAATCCAGCGGGGAAATTTCCCCCAAAAGCTCCTGTGTTTATGACATTAGAGCTGTTCCTTACCACTTTTTAAGATTATTTTATTGCATTTTCAGAAGAAACCCACAGACCTGTTATAAAAATCCAGCTTTCATCCACTAAGGCAGGGGTCTTCAATGTTTTCCAGGCCAAGGACCCCCAAACTGATGGCGAGGTGGAGCAGGGACCCTCTAATTATATATACTGTATGAAATTGTGTTATATCCAACTGGTCCTATTGTCACTCTATTACATGGAGTCATGTAAACAAAAGTAATTTCTCCCTGGGATTATTAAAGTATTTCTGGTTCCTGGTTGATGGGACAGGTGTTATGAATGAAACGGTGCCCAGCTTGAAAGAGCTCCTGTGTGTTGCTGAATGTGAGCATTGATGACTGAAAGACATCTTCTGCCTCCATTTATCCGTTTACTACAGTTCACTGAATTCATGTTAATGTGGATTTAAAGACATTTCAATTAGTGGAAAAAATTACAGGGGGGAACACAGGCGTAAATTTCTGAGGGACTGGTGTGGACATGTCCCCATCAATAATTTCCGCTTTTTTCCCCTTTTCCGCTCAATTCATGCAGCCAAAGGTAACAAAGGTTGGGTGCAGCTATCTGTGTTCAGAGCGTTTTGAGTCTCTCTCTTGCGCTGCTCCCGTGTCCCGCCTCTAGGTCTAAAATCATCAGATCTGTCACACTGAGACACCTGATTTGCGTAGAGAGTAGCTACTTGGTTGGAGGAGAGACACACAGCAGCAGAGTGATGTTTAACCTACAGCTACTGCAATATATTTAAGTAAAAGTTAGGAGACAGGTTGGTTAAAAAAAAATTGGGAACAAAACAACGAAAAAATCTGTTTGACATACAGCTAAAAAGTGCAACACATTATAAGTTTATACAAGTTAGTATTATAACGCAAGAAGCTTGAGAAAAATAGTTTGTTCTTCTTTACTATAAAAGCTGGGCAACTCAGAGGACCATGACTCCCAGTTACAGGTTAAAATTAACATGTTTTCGTATTGAACAGACAGAAATTTAGTTTCTGGCATCATTATATTAGTAAATATTAGTGAATAGGTTCATTAAACAGCAGAGAGAGAGAAGTAGGGTGAGCTGCAGATTTAAAGGTGAAACAGATTGACTGGGATATGCAACATGCAATAAAATATAGCTCCAAATTTACCAGAAAGTTAATGAGAAAGAAATATGCTATGCTACATTTAAAATGAAGCATTTCCATATTGTTCTGTATGGATGCGATTGAAATTCTAGGAATGCATGATATATCGATGTTGGCATCGGAATTGGCTGTTATTCATTATTTGTGCTATACAATAATGTTTTCGGGTCTTATATATGTAATGCAAGACATCTCTATAACTATCTATAAATATAAATATCAGTGTATTATGGTTCTCTTGTGTTGTCAACAATAGGAAAGCATTCGATAAATATATGTTGGAGCTCATTTTTGGAAAATACAAAAACCTAATGAAAAAAAGTCTAACCAAGCAAAACTTTCTTGCCCCCCATGCAGTACCTCTGTGGCCCCCCTAGGGGTCCTGCACCCCCTGTAGAAGACCTTTGCTGAACGTGATTATCGATAAAGATTGAATTTAAACTATATTAAAAAAAATTTGTTTTATGCAAATATGGGAATCCCATGTATAATAAAAGCACACAGCGCTTGGCGCCTGAGCACCCATAAAAAAATCTGAATTTAGGATCAGCGTTTGGGGCAAAGCGCAGAAGCGTAGCAGGAAAATTTTTATAAAGGTGGCCAGTCAATGAGCAATGTACACTGAGGGGTGG